GTCTTTTTCAGAACGCTGAGATCACAGAAACCAGCAGGCGATGCAGGTCCCAGCTTGGAACTCGAAAGAAAACTAATCGCCTGCTCCTATCGGCAGATCGGGCTGCGGTTACAGAGAAAGCCACGGGGGGTCTGGTTCAAGAGCTGCCAGGTCTAAGCAGACCCAGATGCCAACTGGTGTGTGTTTGTTTTAAAGGGAGCCACGTAACAGGCAGAAACCAACAGGTGAGGTTCTCCCCGTCACCGGGAGGCATTTCCCCTGCGATTTCTTTGCCTGTTCTGTCTCAGGAGCCCTCCCAGGAGAATAAGATCCGCAGCCCTCAAAAGTCAGGGAATGGGCGCTGAGTGAATGATCACTTCTGCATTTATTTATTTATTTATAGCCCACTTTCCTCCCCCCAGTTGGGACTCCCCCCAGTTCAAGCAGCTTAGGACAGGGTTCTCCCCAGGTCTAGAGTTTGTGATGATCTCAAGGGCACCTAGCGAGTGCCTATGGTAGAAGGGGGGATTCGAACTCGGGCCGCCCCGGGGTTCTAGTGCACCACTCCACCCACGACACCGCACCGGCTCTGTTAAGCTAACCCAGAACATCCCTTCATGTGGGCAAACGAGGCTAGAGATGTAAAAATGGTACCAGGTTGCCAATATAAAGTCATGGATGCTGAGGGAGAAACGACGGCTGGGAGGTGACATGATCGAAGTTTATAAGATTATGCGTGGGACAGAGCAGGTCGAGAAAGAAGCACTTTTCTCCCTTTCTCACAACACAAGAACTCGTGGGCACTCCATGAATTTGCTGAGCAGTCGGGTTAGAATGGACAGAAGGAAGTCCTTCTTCACCCAAAGAGTGATTAACACATGGAATTCCCTGCCACAGGAGGTGGCGGCAGCTACAAGCATTGATGGCTTCAAGAGGGAATTGGATAAGCATATGGAGCAGAGGCCCATCAGTGGCTATTAGCCACAAGGTGTAGATAGGAACTCTCGGTCTGGGGCAAGGGATGCTCTGTATTCTTGGTGCTTGAGGGGGTGGGGGCAAGAGTGGGAGGGCTTCTAGCTTTTAGTGTCCTGGCCCCACTGCTGGACCTCCTGATGGCACCTGGTATTGTTGGCCACTGTGTGACACAGAGTGTTGGACAAGATGGGCCATTGGCCCTAATCCAACATTGGCTTCTCTGATGTTCTTATGTTCAAACAGAACATGTTAAGAACGACCATGCTCTGGGCATAGAGCAGGGGGTCACTGGGGGAGTGGGGGGGGGAAGGTAACCTTTAATGCCTTGCATTGTCCTGGGGTTGGACTAGATGACCCTTGGAGATCACTTCCAGCTTTATGTTTCTAAGGCTCTTGTGGCCCCTGAAAAGACTAGCAGATTTATTGCCACCCAGAGATCAGCTAGATGTTGACAAACCACAGTGTTTTCCCGGAGCTCTACACAACACGCTTCCCTGATGGATCATGTGCCAGGTGCGTCCCTGCCAATGATGTCAGTGCCAGTCTTAAGGCCTTTCCCTCCGCCAGGGCGTTTTAACAGTTGCTTCGGGTTCATTGCCGCTTTACTGCACCTCACTGGATGCTAACGCTCTCTACTGCTTGCAGTTTTAGACCCAGATAGAAGGAGGAGGAGATTGGATTTATACCCCGCCCTTCACTACCCGAAGGAGAGCGGCTTACAAACTCCTTTCCCTTCCCCTCCCCACGACAGACACCCTGTGAGGCGGGTGGGGCTGAGAGAGCTCTTTTGAGGACTGCTCCTGAGAGAACAGCTCTGAGAGAACTTGTGACATACCCAAGGTCTTACCAGTAGCTGCATGTGGAGTAGTGGGGGAATCAAACCCGGTTCTCCCAGATAAGAGTCCGTGCTCTTAACCACTACACCACACTGGCTCTCATGAGCAGGTAAGCAGTTTGGTGCAGCAGTTAGCTCGCTTGCCATAAACTCACTGCGGGACCTTAGACCAGTCTTCTTTCTCGGCCTAACCTCCCTACCTCACAGGACTGCTGTCAGGATAAAATGGAGGAGAGCCATCTCTACTGCTCCCAGCTCCTTGGAGGAAGAGCAGGATAAATATCTACGCAAGCACAGGCTGAGAGCCTCATACAGAGTCTTTGATAACTGCTCACTTTGCATATCAAAGGGCTGTAGCCCAAGTGGGTGTCACAGCAAAACTGAGCTCATGCAAATACTTTGCATAATTGCGCCACAGTTTAAAGGAGGAGAAGAGATTGGATTTATACCTTGCCCTTCACTACTGAGGGAGTCTCAGAGTGGCTTACAATCTCCTTTCCCTTCCCCTCCCCACAACAGACACCCTGTGAGGTAGGTGGGGCTGAGAGAGCTCTTTTGAGAACTGCTCCTGAGAGAGCAGCTCTGAGAGAACTTGTGACTGACCCAAGGTCACACCAGCAGCTGCATGTGGAGGAGTGGGGGAATCGAACCCGGTTCTCCCAGATCAGAGTCCACGCTCGTAACCACTACACCAGATTGGCTCTCAAGGCACCAAGCCTGGCCAAAGTTGCACAGGGAAGATGTTTGCCCTGCCAGAGTTCTGGATGGCCCAGGCTGGGCGGATCGCATCAGATCTCCGAAGCTAAGCAGGGCCGGCCTTGGTCAGTACTTGGAGGAGAGACCACCGAGGAAGTCCAGGGTTGCTACGCAGAGGCAGGCAAGGGCAAGACCACCTCTGAACATCTCTTGCCTTGGAAAACCCCATGAGGTCATTATAAGTCTGAGACTGGATGGCAAAAAAAGAAAAAGAAAGGCCCATTTAAATCAGGCTGCGCTGGTTTGCACTGATCTATATTTTGTTGTTTTCATTAGTTTTTTAAAAATATACTTTGGGTTTGCATCACAATGGGCAGAGAAGCAGCACACGCATATTTTAAATGGATAAAGGAAATTTGTTTCGTTTTTCATGCCTCCGCAGCAGACACGATGTGATGGGTAGATAGATGTCAAGAGAACAATATTATCAGCTCTTTCTAACAGGGGCACAATTCTGCAGGGGACATGAGAAGAGCCCTGCTGGATCCGACCAGTGGCCTCAACCAGTTCCTCTGGCGGGCCAACAGCAGGGGATAGAGGCCGAGGCCTTCCCTGTATAAGAAGAGCCCTGCTGGGTCAGACCAGTGAGGGTCCCTCCAGTCCAGCATCCTGCCTCACACAGTGGCCTCAACCAGTTCCTCTGGAGGGCCAACAACAGGGCAGAGAGGCCGAAGCCTTCCCCTGATAAGAACATCAAAAGAGCCCTGCTGGATCAGACCAGTGAGGGTCCATCTAGTCCAGCATCCCGTCTCACACAGTGGCCTCAACCAGTTCCTCTGGAGGGCCAGCAACAGGGCAGAGAGGCCGAGGCCTTCCCCTCATAAGAACATCAGAAGAGCCCTGCTGGGTCAGACCAGTGAGGGTCCATCTAGTCCAGCATCCTGCCTCACACAGTGGCCTCAACCAGTTCCTCTGGAGGGCCAACAAGAGGGCAGAGAGGCCGAGGCCTTCCCCTCCTAAGAACATCAGAAGAGCCCTGCTGGATCAGACCAGTGAGGGTCCATCTAGTCCAGCATCCTGTCTCACACAGTGGCCTCAACCAGTTCCTCTGGAGGGCCAACAAGAGGGCAGAGAGGCCGAGGCCTTCCCCTGAAGTTGCCTCCTGGTACTGGGATTCAGAGGTTTAGTGCCTCTAAATATGGAGGTTCCCTTTAATCACCATGGATAGTAGAGGTAGAAGAAGAGTCGGTTTTATACCCCACCCTTCAGCACCCAAAGGAGTCTCAGAGGGTTTACCATCACCTTCCCTTCCTCTCCCCACAACAGACACACTGTGAGGTAAGTGGGGCTGGGAGATCTGAAAAAGTTAACGAGACGTACAGGACCATAGCACCAAACCCTTAAGTGACTTTGGTGTACATCAGAAAGGAAGGAAATAAGAAGAGAAGACAGGGGTGAGGAGAAAGGCAGACAGCACTTTGCACATGGGCAGGAGCTAGACAGAAATTCTCCAGCAGAAGCTCCATCCACATGAATGCGAGGGGGTGTGGCTCAAAGGCAGAGCCTCTGTTTGGCATGCAGAAGGTCCCAGGTTCAATCCCCAGCACTTCCAGTGAAAGGGATCAGGAAGCAGGTGATGGGGAAGACCTCCACCTGAGACCCTGGAGAACAGCTGCCAGCCTGAGTCTGATTCAGGATAAGGAGAGGGGCTGTGGCTCAGTGGAAGAGCCTCTGCTGGGCACGCAGGATGTCCCAGGTTCAATCCCCGGCATCCCCAGTTAAATGGACCAGACAGTAGATCATGGGAAAGACCTCCGCCTGAGACCCTGCCGGCCTGAATAGACAATACCGACTTTGATGGACCGAGGGTCTGATCTTGTATCAGGCAGCTGCACGTGGGATTGGGACCTTAGCTCCTTATCAACAGCTCCCTTAATTTCAGTGTGGATCAGGCCAGCGTACTTCCCTGCAGAATCTCTCCCACGGGGGGGGGGGGGCAGATCAAAAGACCCAGGACCACAGAAGGGCTACACGAACTTAGCGTGCCCAAGTGCTTCTTGAGCACTGAAACGCCCTGCAGGAATGATTAATCCATGCAATAAGCAAATGCCGTCTGTAATTAGATCGAGAGAGACCGCGATCAATGTTTAGTGCAGGACTTATTGGACAGAGATGGAGAGAGAATTTCCAGGGAGTTTTTGCCCCGGGCAGCCGCCGGCTCTTGCCCGAGATGATGGATGAGTCTCCCTGCTCCGTTCCCTGCCTCTCCTCCTCTTTGCCAAATGGCCATCGTGGAGCCGACCGCTCATAAATATTCGACCCGCGGCAGCCCACTCGCAAAAAGCACCCCGGGCGCTCGCTGACTCTCTTGCTCCCAGCCCTGTGCCCGGACCTGTCTGCCTCCACCCCCTGCCGGCACGTACCCCAGGGCTGGGTTTTTTTGTTTTACTCTTTACAGCCGAGAGTCCCCTCCCCTCCCACAGCACGCGGGCTGGGCGGGACGCTGGCAGGTTGATTCTGTTCTGCTAAGCTGGAGGCAGGCGGGATTCAGGGACTCATCCTTCAGCACCAAGGACAGCTCCCGGTTGGTCTCCCTCGTGCTCTCTCCCCTTGGCTCTCTGCAATGCCGGCCACCATGAGCGGGTCCCATTTGGGCTCCGTGGTCCTGCTCTTTCTACTGCTTTGGGCGGCTCACGGAGGGTTCGACGTGGCTGCCCGCTCGCCCCAGGAGTTTGCCTCCAAGCACGAGAAGGAGCTGGTGAGTAAACGCGGGTGCGTCGGTCCTCTGGCGTCGGACCCTGACCAACTTTAGCCATGCCTACGGCCCCCGGGAGATGGCATCCCATTAGAGAGGGGCAATGTGGCACAAGGCCAGCCCTGTCGGCGATGCCACTCTTGGAGAGAGGGCAGGTGCCCAGGCAGGCAGGCAATGGGCAGGGTAGAGCGTCTGCCTGGCATGCAGGAGGTCCCAGGTTCAATCCCTGGCACCCCTAGTTAAAAGGACCAGAGAGTAGATGATGTCAGACTCCACTGCCCAGGAACCTGGAGAGTTGCTGCCAGTCTGAGTAGGAGCTGTGGCTCAGTGGCAGAGCATCTGCTTGGCGTGCGGAAGGACCCAGGTTCTATCCTTGGCATCTCCGGTTAAAGGATTAGGTAGTAGCTGTCTACCAGTTTGAGAGAGCCAGTTTGGTGTAGTGGCTAGGAGCGCAGACTCTAATCTGGGAGAACCGGGTTTGATTCCCCCACGCCTCCACTTGCAGCTGCTGGCGTGACCTTGGGTCATTCACAAGTTATTTCAGAGCTGTACTCTCAAGGGCAGTCCTCGAGAGAGCTCTCTCGGCCCCACCTACCTCACAGGATGTCTGTTGTGGGGAGGGGAAGGGAGAGGAGGTTGTAAGCCACGCTGAGACTCCCTTGGGTAGTGAAGGGCAGGGTATAAATCCAATCTCTTCTTCTACTGCCGGAGACCTGGGAGAGCTGCTGCCAGTCTTGAGTAGACAAGACAGACCTTGAGGGTTTGATTCCGTATAAGGTGGCTTCCCGTGTCATCTGGGGGCAACATAAATAGGGGGCAATAAATTTACCTGATCCATGAGGCGTTGCACAGTCGATGGGGATGGGTGCCTCTCCGACGCCATGCCGAATTGCGGATTCACACTGCTTTGGGTCAGACCCTAAAGGCACACGCAAGTTAGCTTACTGAGAGCTGTTTCCCTTTCAACATTCTTCCAGCAGACATAACAGGCGGTGAACATTTAAAGCTGACCTACTGAATGAAAGCCTTGCCCCATCCAGCCTGGTAATGATCCCTTGTGGCTCGTGAAGCTCTCAGACGTGACTTTTGTCCTTTATTTTATTTTCAATTGAACTGACGGGTTCGCGGCTCGACAGCCTCTTCTCTAACTGGAGGAGCCGGGGATTGAACCCAGGACCTTTGGCGCGCGAAGCGAGGACTCTGTCACTCGAGCCGTTTGATTCTACTTAGGGAAATGGGCCTCGTGTCTGCTTGAAGGACTGGGGTCTGGGGTGGGGGGGGGGGGGGGCTGTTTTGCCAGATTGATGATAACAGAATTCAGTAAGTGATCTTCTGGAGCCCGGCCAGAAGAAAGCCAAATTCAACTCAGACATGAAGCCAGCCGGGTAACTCCGGATGAGCTAACCTCTCCCAGCCTCTGTGCGGTTCTGCCTTTGAAAATGGTCTGGAAATTTCAGCTCGTCCACAACGAAGCAGCCAGACTACAGTCAAGGGCGGGATACGGGGGACTTGTATCACTCTGGCACTGAAAGATCCAAACGGGCAGCCCATTAGTTTCCGGGCACAATGCAAAGTGCTGGCTCTTACTTTTAAAGCCCTAAATGGCTTGGCACCTGAAGAGAGGAGGAGAGAGAGGAAAGATTGGATTTATACCCCGCCCTTCAGTAGCCGAAGGCGTCTCAGAGCGGCTTACAATCTCCTTTCCCCTTCCCCTCACCGCAACAGACACCCTGTGAGGCGGGTGGGGCTGAGAGAGCTCTTTCAAAGACTTCCCTTGAGGGAACAGCTCTGAGAAAACTTGTGACTGAACCAAGGCCACACCAACAGCTGCATGTGGAGGAGCGGGGAATCAAACCCAGCTCTCCCAGATCAGAACCTGCGCTCTGTGCTCCTAACCACAACACCAAACTGGGTACCTGAATCATCGCCTCCTCCCACAGAGTGCTGCCCTGCCAGCTAAGTTCTGTCTCACAGGCTCTGCCTTTCGTGCCCCTGCCTCCAGAAGCGAGGTGGGTGGCAAGCAGAGGAAAGGCTCTTTCGGTGGTGGCACCTCACCTTTGGCGCACCCTTCCCCTTCCGGCTTGCCTGGTGCCTGCGTTGCTCCCTTACAGGCCCCCGGCCAAAACGCTTCTGTTCCCCTTGGCTTTTCATGGGGCGGGAAGGCAGCATGGTACAGCCCCGTCTCGTCAGATCTCAGAAGCTAAGCAGGGTTGGTGCTTGGATGGAAGACCACCAAGGAAGGCTCTGCAGAGGAAGGCAATGGCAAACCACCTCTGCCTCTCACTTGCCTTGAAAGCCCCTTCCTGGGGTCGTTATATGTTGGAAGCTAAGCAGGACTGGAACTTTGATGAGGGACCACCAAGGAAGGCTCTGCAGAGGAAGGCAATGGCCAGCCACCTCTGCTTCTCCCTTGCCTTGAAAGCCCCTGGCTGGGGTCATTATATGTTGGAAGCTAAACAAGATTGGTACTTTGATGAGAGACCACCAAGGAAGGCTCTGCAGAGGAAGGCAACGGCCAACCCCCTCTGCTTCTCACTTGCCATGAAAGCCCCTTCCTGGGGTCATTATATGTTGGAAGCTAAGCAGGACTGGAACTTTGATGAGGGACCACCAAGGAAGGCTCTGCAGAGAAAGGCAATGGCCAGCCACCTCTGCCTCTCACTTGCCTTGAAAGCCCCTGGCTGGGGTCATTATATGTTGGAAGCTAAAGAAGATTGGTACTTTGATGAGGGACCACCAAGGAAGGCTCTGTAGAGGAAGGCAATGGCCAACCACCTCTGCTTCTCACTTGCCTTGAAAGACTGGAGTCAACATAAGTCTGTTGCAACCTGATGACACTTTACATAGGTAGGCTTTTATTTAAGGATCTGATCTTTTAACACAAGTCTGGAAACTGTTCCTTTAAGCTCTCAGTGGTCTGTTTCTAGGGTTTCTGCTTTTATGCTGGGCTGGGCTTTTAATGACGGATGTTAACTAATATTTTTTAACAGTTTTTGTTTTATAAGGTTGTTTCCTGGAGAGGCAGCATAATATTTCTCTAAATAAATCATGCTCTGGCATTGGGGATAATCTCAGCCCTGGTTTCTTATGACGGCCAGTTTGGTGTAGTGGTTAGGAGCCCAGATTCTAATCTGGGAGAACCGGGTTTGATTCCCCACTCCTCCACATGCAGCTGCTGGTGTGACCTTGGGTCAGTCACAAGTTCTCTCGGAACTGTTCTCTCAGGAGCAGTCCTCAAAAGAGCTCTCTCAGCCCCACCTACCTCCCAGGCTGTCTGTTGTGGGGAAGGGAAGGGGAGGAGACTGTAAGCCGCTCTGAGACTCCGAGTAAAGGGCGGGGTATAAATCCAGTCTCCTCTTCTCTCTCACTTCTTGTAGTCCAACATAATGCCGATTTCCCCTTTAATCCCCAGAATAACCCTGTGAAGCAGGCTAGGCTAAGAAAAAGCATTTGGCTCACGGTCACCCAGTGAGCTTTTCAGCAGAGACACTCAGACAAATACACCTCGCTGCCAAGCTCATGCAACCAATGTTCCCTCTAAGCTGTGGAGTCTTGTGAGCAAAAATTCTGCTTTGTGAGCTCCTGGCATTAAAGTTGTGAGCAAGCCATTTGGCTACTGCATCAATCAGTTCTCTCTGGAGCCATCCGTCCTGAGCCGAGACAAAAAGGTGTGAGCTGGAGGCTAAACAACTGTGAGCTGGCTCACACTAACTCAGCTTAGCGGGAACACTGCATGCAACCCGAATGTACCTGAAGTGTGCCTGCACACAGAAAGCTTATGTCTGCAAAAGCGTATGCCCCGGATAAAGCTTTGTTGGTCTCAGAGGTGCCACTGGAGTCAACCTTTGCTCTGTCGCTTCAGGCCACCACGGCGACCCCACCTGGAATCTAACAACCTGAATGTGCAATTGGCAGATATGGAGGAAGCCAGCCTAAAGAGGTCTGTTTAAAAGAGAGCCCTGACCGAGTAGCCCAGGCTGGCCCAATCTCGCCAGATCTCATGAGCGAAGCAGGGCTGGGCGTGGCTAGTATTTGTATGGGTGACCTCCAATGCTCCCTCTAAGCTGTGGAGTCTTGTGAGCAAAAATTCTACTTTGTGAGCATTAAAGCTGTGAGCGAGCCATTTGGCGACTGCATAAATTAGTTTGCTCCGGAGCCATCCCTTCCTGAGCTAAGACGAAAATGTGTGAGCCGGAGGCTAAAAAACTGCGAGCCAGCTCACACGAACTCAGCTTAGAGGGAACATTGGTGACCTCCAAGGAATACCAGAGTCATGAGCAATACTCCCTCTAAGCTGTGGAGTCCTGTGAGCCAAAAATTCTACTTTGTGAGCTACGGGCATTACAGCTGTGAGCGAGCGATTTGGCTCCTGCATAAATTGGTTTGCTCTGGGGCCGTCCCTTCCTGAGCGGAGACAAGAATGTGTGAGCCGGAGGCTAAGAAACTGTGAGCTGGCTCACACTCACTCGGCTTAGTGGCCGTGATGCAGAGACAGGCAATCGCAAGCCACCTCCCTGAAACATCTCTTGCCTAAAAGAACCAGTCTAGCTTGCCACCTAGTGGTGCGTAATGCTAAAGAGCTAGAACTGCTGCCTGCCAGACAGTCTTAAGATCTCCTGGTTATACGACACACAATGCCATATGATAATTGTTGTTATTATTAGTGATCTTAGGCTTGCAGCCTTAAAGAATGACAGAAGGTAAACAAAGATACTCAGACAGAGTAAAGAAAGGCATGAGAACCGGCGTGGTGTAGCGGTTACAGTGTCAGACTGGGATCTGGGAGAGCCGGGTTCGAATCCCCACTTTGCCACGGAAGCTCACTGGGTGACCTTGGGCCGGTCACATGCTCTTTTTCAACCTGCCTCGCAGGTCTGTTGTGAGGAGGGGGAAGGGAGGATGATATTCGTTGCTTGGGGCCAGCACAGATAAGAAAAGTGACGCATAAGTAACAATTCAAGCAATAGTGTGGAGTTGGGGCTCCAAGTACCCCTGCCCCTGTAGCCAACAAGTCAACAAGGGGCAATCATCTCTCTCCCTTTCTGCTTCCCATCTCCACGACACTGGCCTACCTCACAGGATCGTCGCCTACAAAATAAACCTAGACCTCAATGAGACTCTCCGACACCAAGACTTTACCGCTGATTCTTTTGGCAAGATGTAATTCACTCCCAACAATCGAATAAAGGTATTCCCTGGATTGAAAGAAATTGTTCCTGTGCGTCCGGACCAATAGAGACCATGTGCTCTTACACTGTTCTTCCTTTATTGAATCTAGGCGTGATTGGGATCTCGTGTCAACTCTGATATTCAGGCTCAGTGCCCTGGTAATTATATTACTCTGAAACTGTTCTTTGCAAATGACGGGGGCTGGCCGGAAGCTGTCGCTAGATTTCTTGCGTAGGTTTTTTAACCCTGATTTGCTCGGTTTTCCTTTTATCCCTAATCCCACCAAGCTACGGTTGAAGGGATTGAAAATGAAATAAAGAGATTATTTTGATTGCTATTTCATCGTTTGAGAGCATTTTATTGAGCGGTGGGTTTTCAAAGGGACTCGATGGACATTGTGGGTTGGCTGCCACAGGTCCATTTTTACTAATGATACTCCTCCCCCCGCCGCCGCCCCGGAAGAGCACGGAGCCCTCTTTGCGCTACAGGGGAAGCAGCACCGTGACCAGAACCCGTCCGCAGTAGCCAAGCCGCTGTTTACAGAGAGGGATTTTTGTCCCACTGAACAACTGTCAGACTGCGTGTCCTACCACCAGCTGCTTTTGAAGCATCGCTATTTCAAAAGCAGCCTGTCAACACTGGCACAGCGGGACAAAACAGGAAACACAGCCAAAGAAGAAGAAGAAGAAGAAGAGATTGGATTTATATCCCGCCCTTCACTTGGAGTCTCAGAGCGGCTTACAAACTCCTTTCCCTTCCCCTCCCCACAACAGACACCCTGTGAGGTAGGTGGGGCTGAGAGAACTCTGACACAAACTGCTCTTTCAGGAACAGCTGTGCCAGAGGTTGTGACTGACCCAAGGTCACATCAGCAGGTGCAAGTGGAGGAGTGGGGGAATCAAACCCGGTTCTCCCAGATTAGAGTCCGCACACTTAACCACTACACCAAACTGGCTCCTTGGCTGGGTAAATCTAGTCGCCCTGTTGCTGTGGACAAGAATCATAGAATCCTAGAGTTGGAAAGGACCACCAGGGTCATCTTGTCCAACCCCCTGCCCAATGCAGGAAATTCACCAATACCTCCACGCACACCCAGTGACCCCTGCTCCATACCCAGAAGATGACAAAAAACCTCCAGGATCCCTGGCCAAACTGGCCTGGAGAAAATTGCTCCCTGACCCCAAAGTGGTGATCAGCATTTCCCTGGGCGTGTCAGAAAGGGCCATGAAAACTAAGCCCTGAGGCAAGCCTTCCTGCTCTCCTTTCTCAATCTCCCCAAGTTCACAGAACCAGCATGGCTGTCAAGGTGGCCATCCAGCCTCTGTTTGAAAACCTTCAAAAAAAGGAGAGCCCGCCACCTCCCGAGGAAGCCTGTTCCACTGAGGAGTCGCTCTGTCAGGAAGGAAAGACCAGTGCACAAATTTCTCATATGAAAGGAATACGGTTGTAATTAATTCCCTTTGAAAATTTCAGGCAGGAACTCTCGGTCTGGGGCAAGTGATGCACTGCATTCTTGGTGCTTGGGGGGGAGGCAACAGTGTGTGTGGGGGCTTCTAGTGCCCTGGCCCCACTGGTGGACCTCCTGATGGCACCTGGTGTTTTAGCCACTGTGTGACACAGAGCATTGGACTGCGTGGGCCATTGGCCTGATCCAGCATTCGCTTCTCTTATGTTCTTATGTTTTTTCCCTTTCATATTGCATTGTTTATTGGATCTATTGTATGGGTGTAAAGTGGCATAAAGTCACAGCTGACAAAATAAGCCACATAAAAAGAACACTGAGAGCTTAAAATAACAGTTTCCAGACTAGTGTTAAAAGATGAGATCCTTAATTAGAAGCCTACCTATGTAAAATGCCGTCACATTGCAGCCGACTTATGGTGACCCCAGCAAGGGGCTTTCAAAGTGAGTGAGAAGCAGGGGTGGATGGCCACTGCCTTCCTCTGCAGAGCCTTCCTTGGTGGCCCCTCATCAAAGTTCCAGTCCTGCTTAGCTTCCAACATATAACGACCCTGGCAAGGGGCTTTCAAGGCAAGTGAGAGACAGAGGTGGCTGGCCATTTCTTTCTTCTGCAGAGCCTTCCTTGGTGGCCTCCCATCTAAGTACCAACCTTGCTTAGCTTCCAGCCTATAATGACCCCAGGAAGGGGCTTTCAAGGCAAGCGAGCAGCAGAGGTGGTTGGCCATTACCTTCCTCTGCAGAGCCTTCCTTGGTGGTCTCTCATCCAAGTACCAACCCTGCTTAGCTTCCAACACATAACGACCCTGGCAAGCGGCTTTCAAGGCAAGTGAGAAGCAGAGGTGGTTTGCCATTGCCTTCCTCTATAGAGCCTTCCTTGGTGGTCTCTCATCCAAGGACTGACCCTGCTTAGCTTCCAACATATAACGACCCTGGCAAGGGGCTTTCAAGGCAAGTGAGAAGCAGAGGTGGTTTGCCACTGCCTTCCTCTGCAGAGCCTTCCTTAGTGGTCTCTCATCCAAGTACCAACCCTGCTTAGCTTCCAACGTATAACGACCCCAGCAAGGGGCTTTCAAGGCAAGTGAGAAGCAGAGGTGGTTTGCCACTGCCTTCCTCCGCAGAGCCTCCTTTAGTGGTCTCTCATCCAATTACCGGCCCTGCTTAGCTTCCAACATATAACGACCCCAGGAAGGGGCTTTCAAGGCAAGTGAGAAACAGAGCTGCCTTTGCCTTCCTCCGCAGAGCCTTCCTTGGTGGTCCCCCATCCTAAGTACCTGCTTGGCTTAGCTTCCAAGACTGGGCTATACCATGTTGCCTTCCCTACCTAGATGTACTGTAACTGCATTTCACTATTCTTCTGTTGTATAGCCTAGTGTTATAACTTTTTCTTGGTACACACTCTGCTGCCCTCAATTTATTGTTCCCTAATGGTGAGTTTTTATTTCGTGGTTTTTAAATGGCACGATTCAGCTGTGCTGCACTGCGTGTTCCACATTCTATACCAGGTGCCATAGCAGTGTTTGGATAATTCCGTAATGAACCTTGAGCCTCTATGAGAAAGACGGACTGTACATGAAGCCAGTAAGTAAAGAATGGCTAGCAGACATGCTGCCCCTTCCTACCACATGGGGCAAAGCTCACAGCCAGCACGAGGCAGATTGGGGGGCTGGCAGGACTACTTTCCTGGCTAACTAATCCGGGAGACTTCCATTCCTCTCTCCAATCCAGTTGGAAGAACTGCAGAACGTGCTGGAGAAGCTCCAGCACAAGACAGTCTCCACGTGGGAAAAGAAGTTCAACCTAGTCCCCAAGGTAAGCGAGTCGATTGAAGAGCGGCTGATGGGGTGGGGGGAGATGAAGCCGAGGGTGGAGGCAGAGGTGGGGCGGGGAGCATTTGTGCCGCAGGGAAGTATTCTACGCTCCAGTAAGCGTGATCACCGGCTTATTTCACATATGGGGCTGCCCTATACTGAACCAGACCCTTGGTCCATCGCAGTCATAGACTAGCAGCGGCTCTTCAGGGTCTTGGGTAGAGGTCCTTCTCATCGTCTACCGCTTGGTCCTTCTTAACTGGAGATGCCAGGGATTGTACCTGGGACCTCCTGCGTGTAAAGCAGGAGTTCTGCCACTGAGCTGCAACCCCTACTCAGACTGGCAGCAGCTCTCCAGGGTCTCGGGTGGAGGTCTTTCGTATCACCTACTGCCTGGTCCTTTTAACTGGGGATTGAACCTGCGACCTTCTGCATGCCAAGCAGAGGCTTTGAACGTAGGCTGATCGGAGAGGGCAGTCATAGAACTGATGCTTTGGATGTTAAAGTCTACTGGTTATCAAAAGTTTGCAACTATTGGGGGGGAAAGCCTCTTTACCTGGGACCCTGGAGGGTGGCTGCCAGCCAGAGGAAATGACAGTCAGTCAGATGGACCAATGGTGTGACTTGATCTAGGGCAACTTCCTATGTCTATGTAACCTCACTGGACTGCCACTCCCCCCCCCCACACACACACACTTCCACCCACCTGTAACGGGGAGACATTTACTTACCTTACAGGGCTGTTTTAATAATATCTGCAATGGTGCACAAACTTTAGAGCAATGTTTGGACGACAAACACTAGTATTACAACTGTAATAGATTAGTTGGCTACACATTTGTTTGATTTGTTGCTCAGAGTCATATTTTTAAAACAACGGTGCTACAAATGAACACCAGGTTATTAGGGCTACTTTGGTGCCGGTGTGTTACTGTCAGAGAGAGAATAAGATAGACCACTCCTTGCACCAGGGGAAAGCCCAGGTGTGTGCAGAATAACCAATGGGATTTCTTCCAACCAATAACGTTTAAACTTATCTTACAAATTAACTTTCTTCTGTATCTCTATGAGGCACAGATGTTGAGCTCCGGGCAAAATGGACATGGAGTTCTGTAACGGGTTGAAAGGCAACCACAAAAGGTACTGAGTACCAGAGGCCACATGAAAGGGGAAAAGGCAGATACACTTGTGTACAAACCAAATGTTAATATATACAGTGCAAACAGTACAGTGAAATTAGTGAGAACGGTCCCTATATATAGTGCTTGATACAGTGAAGTACAGTGAAGAAGACTGTGACAGCAGCCATGAAATTAAAAGACGCCTGCTCCTTGGGAGGAAAGCGATGGCGAACCTAAACAGCATGATAAAAAGTAGAGACATCACCCTGCCAACAAAAGTCCGAATGGTCAAAGCAATGGTATTCCCAGTAGTCATGTAGGGCTGCGAGAGTTGGACTATAAGGAAGGCCGAGCGCTAAAGAATAGATTCTTTTGAACTATGGTGCTGGAGAAGACTCTTGAGAGTCCCTTGGACTGCAAGAAGAACAAATCAGTCAATCCTCAAAGAAATCAACCCTGACTGTTCCCCGGAAGGCCAGATAATGAAACTGAAGCTCAAATACTTTGGCCACCCAATGAGAAGGGAGCACTCACTGGAGAAGACCCTGATGCTGGGAAAGATTGAAGGTCAAAGAAGACGGGGACGGCAAAGGATGAGATGGTTGGACAGTGTCATAGATGCAACGAGCATGAAGTTGAGCAGGCTTCAGAGGGCGGCGGAGGACCGGAGGGCCTGGCGGGATCTGGTCCATGGGGTCGCGAAGAGTCGGACTCGACTGTGCGACTGAACAACAACACAGTGAAGTATGACCACTGAAGTATGAACATTCAGTGGATGATACAGTAAAGCATGACCATTAGTAAAGTGTAACAATTGACGGTCTGCCGGCTAATTAAGACACCATTTCAATATCTTCTTCAGAGTTGTGTCTGTTACAGTCCCACTGGAAAATGCATCTGGCCTCTTTGTCATCAGAGCTGTATATGGAAGAACATCACGACTGTATATGAGAAATTGGATCTCAGATACATGATTTAAATGTCTACAACATGGTACAGCGGTTAAGAGCAGTGGACTCTAACCTGGAGAGTCGGGTTCAATTCCCCACTCCTCCACATGAAGCCTGCTGGGTGACCTTGGGTCTGTCCTAGTTCTCTCCCAAACTCTCAGCCCCACCTGCCTCTTAAGGTGCCTGTTGCGGGGAGAGGAAGGGAAGGCGACTATAAGCCGCTCTGGGACTCCTTAGGGTAGAAAGAAGTGGGGTATAACAACCAAGTCTTCTTCTTTGTCTTTTCTATGATTGGCTGATATAAAAAACACAGTCTACAACAACTGTACTCGGCCATTCTGAAATGGCACTGTAACAGAAACAAGTCTGAAGAAGAGATCGAAAACAGTGTCTCAGTTCGTCAATTGCTACACTTTTTGTAATCATTATACAGAAGAAGAAGAGGAAGAGGAGGAGGAGGAGATTGGATTTATACCCTGCCCTTCACTACCCAAAGGAGTCTCAGAGCAGCTTACAAACCCCTTTCCCTTCCCCTACCCATAACATAAGAACATAAGAGACGTCGATGTTGGATCAGGCCAAAGGCCCATCCAGTCCAACACTCTGTGTCACACAGTGGCCAGAAATACCAGGTGCCATCAGGAGGTCCACCAGTGGGGCCAGGACATTAGAAGCCCTCCCACTGTTGGCCCCCCCAAGCACCACGAAGACAGAGCATCACTTGCCCCAAACGGACACCCTGTGAGGGAGGTGGGGCTGAGAGAGCTCTTGACAGAAACTGCTCTTCTTTCATGAACAGCTCTTATCAGAACTTTGGCTTGCCCAAGGTCATCCAGCAGCTGCAAGTGGAGGAGTGGGGAATCAAACCCAGTTCTCCCAGGTTAGAGTCCGTGGACTTAACTACGACACCAAACTGGCTCTGTGTCAAGCACTGAATTGTTATACATTAATGGTCATATTTCACTGTATCATGCAGTGTATATAGGGCAGGGGTCATTTCGTAGAAAAAGAGCTAGGGGAACTCATTAGCATAACTCATTAGCATATGCCACACCCCCTGACATCAGGGGCCTGGCGGTGGACCTGCAAGGCCAGTGGGAGTGCGAGGAAGCCCCGCCAAGGCCCTCCCTGGCCCCAGGCAGGCAGGGGTGGGGAGAGGCAGGGAGGAAGCAACTTACCCTCCCTCTTCTCCTGCCTCCTCCTGGCTGAATGAGGGCTGGAAGCGGGGCGGCCGGAAGCAGGGGGCAGGGCTTCATCATGTGCCCCCGCCCCCCTGCACCTCACCCGGGGGAACTGCATTCCCCCGCGTTCCCCCCCGAAATGATCCCTGATATAGGGACTGTTTTAACTGATTACACTCCACTGTATGTATTCACATCTAGTTTGAAGTATACCTGTCTGTCTTTACCCCCCTTTTGTGGTTTCCTACAGAGGTCTCTCCGCTCATTCTGTTCTTCTTATTGGTTGAAAGGCAGACAATCCATTGACTAAGAAACCCTCACTATCTGGGCAACGGGCCTCCTACCTACTATTAAACAGATCAAGATGGGTTGCCGTGTGAGTCTGTCTGTAGAAGTAGAAAAGAGCAAGAGTCCAGGAGCACCTTGAAGACTAAGAAAATTTGTGGCGGGGTACGTGAGTCTTCTTGAGTCACCGCTCACTTCTTCAGATACAGCTGTGCCTGGAGAAGTCAGCAGTGACTCACGAAAGCTCCTCCCTGCCAAAACTTTTGTTAGTCTTCGAGGTGCTGCTGGACTCTTGCTCTTTTCTACTATTAGAAACAGAGACGTAGCCCAGAACTGAGAGAGGTTAGGATAGTCAGGGCAGGCAGCTGCCTGGCAAATGCCAGATATCGGCCAGCTGACTGGTTGATTGAGTGTTGGGAGGGGCCCCTCCTGAATCCTGTACACTGCATGGGTCAGGCCACACCTGGAGAGTCTTGTGTGCCATTCTGGAGGCCTCACTTCCGAAAGGATGTCGGCAGAATAGAGTGGGGTGCAGAGGAGACTGATGAGGATGATCAGGGGCCTGGAGACCAAGAAGCCCTGGGAGGAAAGGCTGAGGGACTTGGGGATGTTCAGTTTGGAGGAGGTCGAGGGGGGACAGGATGGCTCTCTTGAAGTCTCTGAAGGGCTGTCGCTTGGAGGAGGGCAGGGAGCTGTGCCTGTTGGCCACAGAGAAGAGGACTCGCAAGGTTTAAATGAAGGGCAGGAAGGTACCAGCTCGATATTAGGAAAAACTTTTTCACAGTAAGAGTTGTGCAAGAGTGGAATCAGTTGCACTGGGAGGTGGTGAGCTCCCCCACCCTGGCAGTCTTGAAGCAGCGGCTGGACAAACACTGGTCAGGGATGCTCTAAACTGATCCTGCACTGAACAGGGGGTTGGACTAGTTGGCCTGTGTGGCCCCTTCCAACTCTGTGATTCTATGAAAGATTTGCTGATCCTGATACTCCGCTTTTCCTCGCAGTGCTCCTTCGGCGACCTGTGTGCCGTGAAGAAAGGCGCCCGTATCGGCAAGCTGTGCGACTGCCCCCGCGGATCCGCCTGCAACACCTTCCTCCTCAAGTGCTTGTGAAAAACCAGGGGCGGCGCTAGCCAACCGGAGATGTGTCTCGATACACACACACACACACCCTTCCCCAAACAACAATTTCCCCCTCCCGCTTCCCTGCGTCATCGCAATGCCTTGGTCCCTAGGACGGAAAGGCAACCGAGGGCTTCCCTGGAATCCTGAACCGCAGCCTTGGGATATGGAGATTAATAAAAGAAAAAGGTTGTGAGCATGTGCAGAGTGTAATTCCCATTTTCTAGGGATGGAGGGGCAAAGTTTTAGGGGAAAGGACACAGGCGGTGGAAGATGGAAGGAGAGGGAAGATGAGGAGGTGGCCGTGGCTCAGTGAAAGAGCCCCTGCTTTCCGTGCAGAAGGTCCCAGGTTCAATCCCCGTCATCTCCAATTAAAAGATCTAGCAGCAGGCAATGGGGAAGACCTCTCCTCTGGAACCTAGAGCCAGTTCTGCTCAGAGTAGACAATGCTGACCTTGAGGGATCAATAGTCCGATTTGGTCTACCTGAGTTTTAGAGAGGGGCCGTGGCTCAGTGGTAGAGCTTCCACTAGGCATGCAGGAAGGGCCCACATTTATTTATTTATTTATTTATTTATACCTTCGGCTTATATACCGCCCTGACCCCGAAGGGTCTCTGAGCGGTTTACATAGTGGTTCTAACCAATCAATTAACCTGACTAGGGCCACATTGTCTACAGGGTGGTGACTGCCTACCAGCACCCCGGGCTAGTTGTCATCCGGCTTCCTTCCGCGGCTTCAGATATTGGCGTCCTGGTGCCCTTTCTGGAGCCCATCTTCCCCGAGCAGCTTCTTCCGGCAGGTCTCGTCTTGGCGCATGGCTCTGTGTTGGCTGCAGTTCCGGCTACTGTCCACAGGTGGCTCCGCCGCGCTGCGCCGCACGTCACCACGCACTCCAAGGCTCCACTTTCTCTGGGTTCCGACTCCGATGTTGCTCCACCGGGTCGCCAGGAACTGCTCTGCCGCCATTGTTGCCGCCGCTGAACCCTTTACCTCACAAGGAGGAGGGGTGCCCCCTGCCACCTAGGGCAGGTACCCACTTTATCTACTTGCATTTATGATGCTTTCGAACCGCTGGGTGGACGGGAGCTGGGACGTGGGCCGGGAGCTCACCCCGACCGCGGTGGGTTTCGAACAGCCGTAACATTCAATCCTTGGCATCTCCAGTTAAAGGGACCAGGCAGCAGGTGACAGGAAAGACCTCGGCCCGAGACCCTGGAGAGCCGCTGCCAGTCTGAGTAGACAACAGTCACCTTGATGGACCGAGGGTCTGATTCTGCCCAAGGCAGCTGGATGTGTTCATAAGGGAGGGTGTCATGGCTCTGTGACAGAGCGTCTGCTTGGCACGCAGGAGGTCCCAGGTTCAGCCTCCCGTTAAAAGGACCGGGGAGCAGGTGACGGGAAAGACCTCTGCCTGAGAACCAAGGAAGCGGCTGCCGGTCTGCGTAGACGACACTGACCTTGATGGACTCAGGGTCTGACTTGGTATAAGGTGGCTTCCTGTGTGTTCATGTGAAAACCAGCATCCTTCTTACTCTGGAAAAGCCGTCATAGGCTGACGACCCAACTCTGGCAGCCGCTGAAGCGCTAAAGCGGGGGCGCGCCCTGCTGGTCAAGAACAACAACACTGGTCTTTGGCAGAGGACAAGAGAGAACATTTTAAAACCCCACATTCCCGTGCCCGGGGATCAGAGGTCACAATGTTCCCTCTAAGCTGTGGAGTCTTGTGAGCAAAAATTCTACTTTGTGAGCTGCTGGCATTAAAGTTGTGAGTGGGCGATTTGGGTACTGCATAAATTAGTTTGCTCTGGAACCCCATCCTTCCTGAGCTAAGACAAAAATGTGTGAGCCGGAGGCTGAAAAACTGTGAGCCAGCTCACCCTAACTCAGCTTAGAGGGAACACTGCTTACAGTGTAATCCAACGGAACGTTACTCCAGCCGAAGCCCATCCATTTCAATAGGCTTAGATGGGAATGACTCAATTTAGGATCGCGCCGTTAATTTCATTACACAGCAGAACAACGTTGGAGGGCATCCCTCCATCTCAAGGCTGCGGCTATTCCTTTAATACAAAGACTCGCCTCTCGGGGTCACTGAAGGATGCAGGCTGGTGGTTTAGCAACAGACACGACCCTGCCAGTTTGCTTCGAGCTCCTGCAGAATTGGGGGGGGGCCTTCAGATGAAGGTAGCCCTCCTAACTGAGAAGGGGCTACCTCAGAATTTGTTCAGCAGAATATATGTGTGGGCCTGCTAGGGCAGATGAACTGTCCGTCTAGTCCGACACATTGGTCCGCACGGTGGCCAACCAGTAGCCCTGGAGGAGGAGGAGGAGGAGGAGGAGGAGGAGGAGGCGGCGACGAAGTACGTGTATTGCTACGCC